TACTGCGTTTGTGGTGCAATCAGAACATTGCGTGTGTTGAAGTTGTTTTAACGCAAACCAAAGATGCCTTTTAAAAAACAAATTTGCATCAGATTCTTATGCATTCAGTGCTGTGTGTGAGGTAATTTAAGGTGGTTCTGACAAGTGTCGTCGGCATCTTCATATCCGGTCACATGGTTGGCAAGCCACTCCCATCCGGTCACATGGGCAGCAAGCCACTTCCACAAAGGAGGCCACACCCACAGAGTAGGTTCGAACAATTTTTGAAACCCACCACTGAGTTGCTGCCTTACCTATACCTTTAAAAACTAAAAATCAGGACTATGCACATTCACTTCAAATAAAACTAACAAAATGCTAAGAAGTTATGATATTTATATAGTTACTTACCCAACACATTTAAATTATGTTAAAGTAACAAAGATATCTTTACCATCCACAAGGCATGTCACTCTTGAGCACCCCTACTGCTTGGAAGTTGAAAGTTGAAAAATTTGACACGCCCTACGAGTGTGCAGTGTTTTGGATTCCATTTTTGAAATCGTGCTTTATAAAATGCGTCAGCACAAACATACCGCCAGAATGCAGCATCTTAAAGCAGCTATGTGGTTTTTTTTATCTGGAATGGTTTGGCATTTTTTTCCCAATCTTGGGAAAAGATGCAGTTGTTTCCAGGGATTGCAGGTGGGTGCTGTGTTTGTGCCTTTATACCTTCTTAAGCACTGTTTGCATCTTGACTGCAAAGACCTTACCAGAAAACCCTAGCTGTTAAATGGAGTGCTAATAGTTTACATTTGCATGTCAAGAAACTGAACTAGGACAACTGAATATTAAAATATTCCATAGTTCCAATTACATTAAAATTGGCTTGGTACCCTTTGATTATTGGGTAATGCCTGAGTTATTAAATTTGTGGACTACCATTGCAAACTCCTAAATACCTTCAAAGATCTAAAGAGTTTGTTTTAACCCATTAAAAATGCTGCCAGGTCTACAGATCAATAGGAGTGAGTTGATCCCACCTCACTAGCAAAATAAATGATATAAGAGGTAATTATACTGGTCAAGAAAAACTCACTTTAAACTGTCAAACAAAATGGGAATTTAGTTGTACTACTCATTTTTACAGCTACATAAATCTGTTCCCTATCATCATTGCTATTATCCCAGCCTTTTAACACTAATTAATCAACTTGCCACTTTGTATGAGAGAAACACAGTTTGCATACAATGAGTTCCACCATCTTGATATAGGAACTTTAATATATTAACTATCCATATTTCTTTTTAAAATCAATGCTCAATGGAATTGCCAAGAGAATTTCCAGTGCTAAATGGAATTAACATCCAATTTTTAAATCTGAAAATTGCCTAAATGTATTAAGCTCTGTTCTGTACTCATTGCAAATTAAACAGCCTTGATAATAGAATGAAAGCAGAGTTCTGATCTCAGCTCTGAAGTGTACTGCATTTTCTCCGTACCTCACCATCTTTGGATTGCAGCTTAAGCTCCGTCCTGCACGTTGCTTCCAGGTTGCCAGCTTCAGCATTAATCAAAACTCCCTTGGGAGCCTCCATCACCAAAGAGCGTGTCGGAGACTCAAGTCTGTAATAGCAAAAAGGGCTCACATCAGTATCTGGGTTTTTGAGGAGGAGGGGGTGACTCATTTGCAACTTGAAAAGATTTCCTCTGAATGGATTCTGAATCTAAGGTAATACATTCATTTGGAAATAGCGCTAAGCAATAAGACTTATATACCGCTTCACAGTGTTTTAAAGGCTTCTCTAAGCAGTTTACAGCATATCCCCCCCCCAAAAAAATCTGGGACTTCATTTTACTGACTTCAGAAGGATGGAAGCTTGAGTCAACCTTGAGCCAGTCAGGATCGAAGCCCTGGCAGTCAGCAGAATTAGCCTGCAATACAGCATTCTAACCACTTTGCCACCATGGCTCTTGAAATACCAGTATTTCAATGATATGATGTCATATTTTCTTCATCCATTCAAGCTAAACCTTTCTATAGCAAGCATTCATAACACTTTCGCTGGACGGATATAATCTACTTGCCAATTGATAAATAAGAGTTGGTGTCCAATGACGTTTACTATAGAAAAAAGGCCCCACATTTAGTCCCAGAAGGAAGAGCCTAAATGGTGTGTGAGAAAGGTTTTTAAGAAATTAACCCAGGAATGAACTGTTCCTAATATATACTGCTTTTAAGTTGGTAACATAGATATGCATGCACATTTCTCACATGCATATAAATTTGGGAATATCACATGAACATATTTTTATGTGAAGTGAGTGGCTATATAGATTTTCTAAATAAATAAAATATTATCCACTGCAGAACTCCCAACAGTGCAGCTATCTTCTATATGTATACAATATAATCTTCATATTCTCCCTACCTGTACAAAAACAATTGCATTAGCTCTTTTTTCAGCATGTTATTTTATCTCTAATCTCTTGAATCAAAACTGGAAAAGCAGAAATGGAGCTCCTACAGGGCTGTATTTTAAGAGGAAGGGTGGAAAAGAGCACTCCCTTTCCAGACTTTGTTCAGATGGATCAATACTTTCCATTCAAGGATAACAACTAAATCTACCAGATTTGGGTTACAAAAATCGAAAGGGCCACTTACTGATAGCAAAACCTGTCGCTCTTTATTGCATCTAATAGTCATCTGGATTTTTAAGGCTCAATTTGCTAGTCTTAATTTTTGTTTGTATGATGTATACAATGGTGGCTACTGTTATCCAATAATCTGGGCCATTGAATTCAGTGGACAAAACAATATAAAAACTACACTGATAGATATTATAGTGGCAGGTTGGGGGGGGGGAGAGAATATACTTTAGTCAGGGAACTCTCAAAAAGGCCCTTTTTGAGCTGTTAACTTTCCCCCCCCAAAGTTTTTATTTTTTGAGGGAGGGTTCTCCAAAGGGGAAAAGATGTGGGCCCACCAATGATGGTCTGCTATTTACCAGGTAATGGTTTGATTTGTTTTCATTCCAAAAGTAATGAAAAATACCTGCATTTTGTTCTTCATTTTTTTAAAAAATATTTCTGCCAGCAAAAAAACATCTTGAATGTAGGGTGACACAATGTGGAATATTTGGACTCTATTAAGATACTATTTAGTCATCATCAACATAGCATAAAACGTCTATATCTCTAGGTCAGGAATGGCATCATCTGTTCTATGAAACCCACAGATAGTTATTTAGAGTCCTGATTTACATTAGGCAGTGGTGAGCATGATAGGTTGCAAATAAGACATACTTGCTGCCTTCTGTTAATATTTAAAATCAATACTTTAAAAATCTTTTAGATCTTTTTTATTTTTATCAAACCCACTTAGAAAGGATATTGAAGCTTTCACGGTGGCCTTTAACACACAATTATCTTGTGGTTAGATTCGTACGAAACTTGCTGGATTAGCAACCGTGCTAAAAATAATTATCATGAAATACAAGCATGTGACAAGTCTACTAACTTGCTTTTCATCAAATAAAACTTCCTAGCATCTGATGAATTGGGCTCTGAATTACTTAAACGTTGAACATAAAATATTTAGTAAGGAGGTTACCTCTCCCTAAAGAGTCCCAGTAAGGATGAACTGGTGGGGTAGTGTATCAATTGGTCACGAGCTAATACAACATCTAAACTGTATAAACCTCCTTTAAGAGACTTAAGTATAATAAATACACAAGCCAGTGAAACCTTTGTAAGATTCCACAATTTCTGTACCATGTGCTGCAAATATTGTCTTCCAATGATATTGTTAATGCTATTAAAAAAATCAGATGACTGTCACTGCCTGATAATCTTCACACCTTGTACACACAACACAATAATACATAGACACAAAAATTATTACTGTATGTCTTAACAAGTGCCCAGAAATAAATGGCATTTGTCAAGGTGAGAAAGATGAATAATTATGATTATGTTGGGAGGCAAGAATTTCTTTACTATAATAAGATATTACTACAAAGAGGTATTACTACTTTAATAGTTGTACTAATAAGACTTTATGGGCTTCTCAACTTCCAACAACTCTGGGAGGCATACAGTTAAAATATATTTAAAAAATGCAACACTCAAAAAGAAAATCCATTCAGTAGGATTCAGACTACATGTTTCCACAAATCCTGAAAGAACAAAAGATAAGTTTGAGATCTTCAGAATGGCAAAATAGTCTCTCCCCAACTATTTGACAGCTCACTCCAAATTTAGCTCCAACCTATCTTTTACTCATACTGTTCCCTGTTTATACATTCTGCTTTTTCCTAAAATTCTAATTGTTCCTTTCCTTTCTTTTCTTTTTTTCTTAGAATATATTTCAATGAAAGAGAAGAAAAAAAGTAGGAAGAACAGTTAACATAGGCCAGCCAGCTTGGTCTGGTATAGAACTTAGTCATGGAAATCAACGTGCTGACATTGGATACATTCCTTGCTATACTGTTTCTTGTCTGTTTTTGTGAGTGATCTTAAATACTTTGCTTAAATACTCTTTTCTTTCATGTTTGTTTCTAGAAAATTATAATCAGTCGGATGGCAGACAGTACATGGCACTTGTCTACCTTCTAAAGAAGTATCTTGGCATTGTCAAGCTCTATACTGTAGAGTCTCTTATCCATAAAAGTACAAAACTTTCCTTTTCTCAGTTTGAAAATTGCTAGAGTAATTTATTGGAGGTCAACCTATCAGGATGTACTGTGCTTTCAGAGATATCCATTCTCTTGAAGCAATCATTACTTATCCAGATTTCTAGTTTTCATTTCCTATATCTTATGAAGCCTCATAAATCATTTCAGAAGGAAGACAGCATTTGAGAACATCATTTTTGCAATATTCCTATTTTTAATGGTACACACAGTGATGTTTTGTTCTTCCTTAAGTAGACTTGAAATGAATCTTCACAAGTATCAGGGGTAGGTTCCTGCCAGTTCTAACCTCTTCTATAGAAGAGGTTCTACAAATCTACAGTGCCGTTTAGAACCGGTTCCAGTTCCCTCCCCTCCCCGCCCATCTGCACATCATCAAGATAAAGAGCGAGAGGAGGAATTCTGGGAATTGAAGTCCACAAGTCTTAAAGCTGCCAAGTTTGAACACCCCTGAGTTTTTTTCTAAAGGGTTATGGGTGCAAGGGTCTTGTAACTTGACAGCTTTAAGACTTGCACACTTCAATGCCAGAGTTCCTGAGCCAACATGACTGGAGGAGGAATTGTGGGAGTTGAAGTCCACAAGTCTTAAAGCTGTCAAGTTTGAACACCCCTGCGTTTTTTTTTTTCTAAAGGGTTATGGGTGCAAGGGTCTTGTAACTTGACAGCTTTAAGACTTGCGTGCTTCAATTGCCAGAGTTTCTGAGCTAACATTTTGGTTGCTAAGCAAGAGCATTGTTAAGTATGTTTCACCACATTTTACAAGTTGGTCACGCCCACCCAGTCACATGACTGCAAAGCAACATCCACCCAGTCACATGGCTGGCAAGCCAATCCCACCTGGTCACATGGCCGGCAAGCCACTCCCAAAAAGCAGGCCACACCTAAAGAAGAGGTTCTAAAAAAGTTTGAAACCCACTACTGACAAGTATGTATAATTTTTGAACAATAACCTTTGTAAGAAAAATCAAATTTGCATATCATTGTGAATTCTACCTCAACTAGCCAACAAGTGATACACTTTTGAGCTATATGTGTTTAATTAGTCCGTTTTTATTTCAAAATACTAATTTTCAGTCCCAATAGCAATGTATCAAATACTTTCAAATGCTATTATATATCAAACACCAATTTTCCCTTATTACTAATGTTATTAGGTTTTAAAAGGATCATTTCTGAATTGTTGGAAACTTTTCAAGAATTTTGAGGTACCTGAGAATCACTGTAGAATTTATCCTTAAATCATTAGGGCCAATGATTCTCAGTCATCCAGGTCATGGTTGTCTCAAAGGTGCTTTTTTAGGAGGCTGTTATATCTTATGGATATAATTATTTCTTTTTTAAAAATCACTGTAGCATTCCATATTGGACATAAAATTAACAATTATTATCAACCAGTTTTTCCTGGTGGTAAATAATTATATCCAAATCATTGGACATAATTATTTAGAGTCAAATCATTGTTTAAGCAACTCCTCTCAGAATGCAATCTTTATTTTATTAAACTCAATAATTTTTCAGCCATACCTCTGTGATTCTGATATTTAAGTCTCATTATCCAAAAAACAACGATTTCCCTCCAGGAAGACTCAAGAACAAAAGCAATAATAATACCCATTGATCAGAACTTAAGTAGTCAACATAATTCTTATTTTTAACTAATGCATCTATAAATAGTTTCATTCTAATACTTGAACATCTTGTTTTGATTATGAGGATTCAATAAAAATGTTCCTATGACGAAAGTACATAGGTAGCTTGTTGGAAAAGATGTTACTAAGAGATACAGGTAAGATTCGCAATGGAATTTTCACTTTATTCTGCTGACCTCACAAAGGCAGATTGAACAGTGAAACCAATGAAGGATCTTGTTACTTATGCTAAAGAGGATTCAAACTATATGGAACAGCCTATACTAGAGAGATATTCTATGGC